GCTGCAGATGAATTTTCCTCAACTCATATATTTTCAAAGACATAGAATTGCTTCCAATAAACAGGAAGTAAAAAATATTTTCTAGAAACTTCGACCCCCCAATCTTTTAAATTCTTATCTAAAATTTAAGTGAATATTTTATTTTTTTAAAGATTTTTTTATTTATTTGTATGGCAGACAGAGATCACAAGCAGGCAGAGAGGCAGGCAGAGAGAGAGGAGGAAGCAAGCTCCCCGCTGAGCAGAGAGCCCAATGCAGGGCTTGATTGCAGGACACTGGGATCGTGACCTGGGCTGAAGGCAGAGGCTTTAACCCACTGAGCCACCCAGGCGCCCCTAAGTGAATATTATTTTAATTGTTCTAATTTCTTTTAGTTACTGAGATAACTTCTTAAGAAATTAAACTTTTTCTCAGTTTCAAGCATAATGTATACTTGATCGGCCCTCAATAATATGAACCTTTTCTGTAGAAGATGAAATACTGTAATTATTTGTCTTTCCACTAGCATTAGCAATACTTATTAATTAGCAGCCTTCTCCAGTCTTCCCCCATCTCTCTCTTCCTTTTTCTTAGTCTTTACTATACAACTCCCCCATTCATAGTAAATGATCAAATGTGTTTAAGTCTTTTAAAAGGAGGTTGTTGATCTGTTTTCTAAAACAAAAACAAAAATGATCCCCTCTTATTACAAAGATGTTTTGACTTTTTTTCAGAAACTCCATGGATCATGAAAAGTGTACATCATGTACATGGAATATACAGATTAACATAGGAGTTAAACAAAAAAAAGTTACTGATAAAATAAGAAAAATATAAGCTCTTTTCCATAACATAAAAACCCCACCACACAGAAAAGAATTTCTATCAAAATTCTTATTTTTCTATCATTTTTCATATGTAAAATTGAATGGAAGTCATCATTAAAGATATTCAGTAATCAAAGTGATCTGCAATATAATATTGGTAGTGTATGTAAAAATGACTATAAACGTAAAATGAAATATAACATAGTAGGATAACTATAATGGTATCCTTAGCTACTGTTGGAAAACCTAAGTTTAGTAAAACTTTAAAAAGAGGGGAAGTGCATCCTTAAAGATAAATATAAATTATTAAAATCAGTTTTATGAAAATGGAGTAGTAATTGATAATCACATCAATTCTTTTGTCTCAATATTAATGGTTTATATGGAAACAGATATAAAGAAAAGTTTCTCAGAAAGATGGAATTGTTCATTGTTCTGGTGGATATGTAAAAACAATGCTGACTCGAAAGCAGCCAAGTGGACAGCTGCAGATGCTGTACCCAATGGAAATACTAAGCAGGCATAGCACAAATCAATAATTAACAAAGCAGATGTACAAAGCTTGATGAGGATGAATAATTGCATAGGCAGGAATGGTAAAAGGAGCTGATAACAGTATGAGTTCTGTAAGAAATTAGATAAGCTCTTTGTATTCACAAATTTGTTAACAAGAGTACTTCAGTGCCTAATAATACACAAAGAATACACATCTTTTCAAAATGCTTTGATTAAATTGATATGCACCTTTAATAACACTTATCACTAAAGATTATTTAGAAATCAAAATTAGGGGCACCTGGGTGGCTCAGTGGGTTAAAGCCTCTGCCTTTGGCTCAGGTCATGATCTTTTTTTTTCTTTAAAAAAAGAAATCAAAATTATCCACAAGGAAATATTGGTAGAGTGACCATAAAAACAATTTTTTAAAAGATTTTTATTTATTTGACAGACAGAGATCACAAGTAGGCAGAGAGGCAGGCAGAGAGAGAGAAGGAGAAGCAGACTCCCTGCTGAGCAGAGAGCCCGATGCGGGGCTCGATCCCAGGACCCTGGTTTCATGACCCGAGCCGAAGGCAGAGGCCTCAACCCACTGAGCCACCCACACCCCAAAAAACAATTTTAAAAGTAAAGAATGCAGGGCACCTGGGTGGCTCAGTGGGTTGAGGCCTCTGCCTTCGGCTCGGGTCATGAAACCAGGGTCCTGGGATCGAGCCCCGCATCGGGCTCTCTGCTCAGCAGGGAGTCTGCTTCTCCTTCTCTCTCTCTGCCTGCCTCTCTGCCTACTTGTGATCTCTGTCAAAAAAATAAACAAAATCTTAAAAAAAAAAAAAAAGGAAGTAAAGAATGAAATAATGTTCTAGATGCATCTAACTACAGGGGTGCCAAATTGTTTATTTTTGGAATTCTTAAGTTTAATGGTCTGTTGAGGGAGGTAAACATTTAGGGCACATCCTTTTCTAAATTTAGTGTGTATGTGTGTATAAACCCTTTCCTAACTAGTCAGTAAGTGTCTTGAGGATAAGTATCATGTTTTATAATGTACTCTAAAAGTACTAAGCCCAATACCTTATATGCAGGTACATACATTTTGATTTCTTCAGAATATAATGAAAATGGACAGTATGATTAAGTGTGCTTTAGTAAAAACATTCAAAGTAAATTCTTTATATAAATGCTAAATATATGACTTATAAACATCTTTTAGGAGTCTTTTTTTGAGAAATAAAAATTCTTAAATTGCAATGACTTTAAAAATTAGAAATTTGGAGTGGTAATAGATGCATTTTTATAGCAAACTTGGAAAGCAGGTTTCAGAGTTTTAGTTACAAAAGGAAGATAGATATATATTCATTTATAGCCTTTTATTTTCCGTGGGACATATGTTGCAGGAATAACTGCCCTTATGAATGCAAAGATTCATTGCTCAAAACTTTCAAGCGCTCTAACCTGAAGATTCTTTACATCCCATTTTATATCATTCTATTTTCTTTGAGTTATCATTGAAAACGCATACTTTCTATTGTCTATTTATTCATTAATTTACAAATATTTATTGAGTACCTACTATGTGCCAGGTACTATTATAGATGTTGGGATATAGCAGTGAACAAGCAAAAATCACTTCACTTATGGAAGTTTTATTTGAAGGCTGGAGACAATCAAGATAAATCAGTAAAATATTTGATTAAATTAGTGTTCGGTACTAAGGGGAAAAATGAAACAGAGAAGTAGGGTAGGAGATCTGAGAAAGAAGTAGAATTTTAAATTGAATGGCCAGGAAAGGCCTCCCTGAGAAGTGATGTTTGGATCAAGTCCTGAAAGAGGTGAAGGAGCTAGTCCTTTGGCTGTCTGGGGGGAAGAGCATTCCAGGTTGCTGGAATCCTAAGTTACAAAGGCCTTGAGGTGAAACAGTGCTTGACATTGTTCAGAAATATCAAGGAGACCAATGTGTTTGGAAGAGACCAGGGCAGAGAGTGGGGAGAAATGACATCAAAGGGATGACAGGAGACTAGGTCATAAAGGATGTCATAGGTAAGAATGGAAGCCATTGAAGTGTTTTGCACTGAAGAGTGACATCTGATTTTTCAACAGGATCACACTGGCCACTGAATTTTGAGAATAAATTTAAGAAGGCAAGGGTGGAAATATGGAGATCATTTAGGCTATAGCTATAACCCAACAAGAGATGGTGACTGGAAATAGAATGGTGGCAGTGATGATACGAGAAGTGGCTGGATTCTGGATATATTTTGAAGATATATTTTGAAGGAGTTTGAGACAGAATATGATGTAAGGTCATCTACTATTTGTGATAGTTAAATTTCCACTGTTCCCTCCTCACTGATCAAAAAGTTACAAATCCTCACACATTTTCTGTCATTCTTAGATTATAATGTTAACATAACTTTTGTTCCTGAGTTTGAAAACGTATTTCAGTGATTTCTGTGTCCCGTCTCAACCTTGAGGAAGGGTAAAGAGAAAATGTGGCCAAGACATTTGACAGTGCCAACACCATCTTATGAGCTCATCCTAAACTGTAAGCTCGGGAGACTTAGTTCATTTACCTTATGTCCTCCAGGCTTGTCTTAGAACCTTGCACACATCAGGCTTTAAAAATATGTTGAATGGTATAGTCTCTATACCATATATTTTCCACGGAATAACAAACTGAAAACAACATCCAGCGGTATCAATTGCACACTCATAAATTAAAATGCGTATTTTAGTGGCGCCTGGGTGGATCCGTCCGCTAAGCGCTAGCCTTCTGCTCAGCTCAGGTCATGATCCCAGAGTTCTGGATGAAGCCTGCCTGGGGCTCTCTGCTCACAGGGGAGCTGGCTTCTCCCTCTCATTCTTCCTCAATGCGCTCTCTCGCTCTCTCTCAAATAAATAAAATCTTAAAAAAAATAAAATTTCGTGTTTTAGTATTAAGGCTATTAAGCTGTAATACTCAATTGATAAATGTATTCCAGTTTCCTCAAATAATGAAGATGCTATTAACACCTTTCAACCTAAAGTTGTTTTAGTTTTCCTAACCTTTTAACCAAAGGGTGGAGGAGATTGGTTTTGCAATTCACAGCGGGAGCTGTCATGTCACACACTCTCTTGTGAAGCTGCTGCAGTGTTAAATCCTCGAATATGGTACAGACGTCTATAGAAATTATTCGACAAAATGCGGGTTTCCAGAGGCGGAAGACCCAAGCCTCTCCTTGGGCCCAGCCCACACAGACCCCTGAGGCACGGGCCTGCACTGTGCACGCCGGGAGTTGTAGTTTTCCCTCCCTTCTCTCACTTCCTTTCGACTCCGGCCGCCAGCGCGCTAGCGCCCCAAGCGGTGCGCAGGCTCAGCGAAGGGCGGCGCACGCGAACGGCGAGGAGCGTTTCCTAGCAACGGGGGCGCGGCCACGTCACGGCAGCCGGTTCTCAACGCAGCTGCCCACTGTAGAGCCGCTGTGTGTACCTTCCGGCACCTGCGGGCTGGAGGGAGCGCTTTCCACACCCGTGTCCGAACGTTCTTCGTCTGTCCTTATCCGCTTTATCCTGCCTCAAGTCGCGGAGAGCAGCCTCCCGCCGCGACCCACCTCTGAGGCCCGGGCCAGAAGCTAGAGGCGGTCTGTCCGGTTCCCGCTGGTCCTCGCCCCCCGTGCCCGTGGAGCCAGCCAGCCGCCCGCGGCCTCGGCGGGACGATGCTGGAGTCCATTCGCGTGACGGGTGAGTGCTGAGAAGGTCTGGCCCCTGGGCTGGCAGGGGTGGCCAGCGTCCTCCGAGCCGGTGGGTGTGGGGCGACGAGGGGCCCCCACGGCCCGGAGGCAGAGGTAACCGTAGGATGTGGGCTCCGCGCGGGGCGCGGGCGCTCAACCCGGCGCCAGGAACAGTGCGCGGTGCGGTGGAGACGCTCGGGGAAAATGCACGGAGGGAAGACAGGAAAAGGATCCCCTTTCCTTTTGTCGCTTTTTATCAGTAAGCGCGTGCCATGGAATCTAGGGAAATAAATTATGATATACACATTACTGGCCCTACAAATGTGCTGTCTAAATATCTGAAAGCGTATTAGGTATTATAGTGTATTGGCGTCTAATTTTCTAGAATGTTCAGAAAAATCAGAGCTAAGCAAAAGAACACATTCCTGTGAGTGTTTACAGTGTTTATTTCTTTCTGTGCTTAAGTCAGTGAGAACGTTTTGAGTTGGTATTAGTAGTAGTCGCTATAGAGTATATATTATACCAACCTGAAGAAATGGGTGTTCAGACCCCAGGTTAGAAAGTTTACTTGCCTTTTATTAAAAAAAGAAAAAAATGGATGGATGTTAACCATTTAAATATTATCTTACGTATGAGAAGGCTTTTCTTGGCCATTATCCCGGCATTTATTCCTGTATCAACATTTCTGCAAGACCGGGTTCATGGTAGTCCAGTATCGTGACGAAAAACAACAGAGTAAAGGGAAATGTCTAATCCTCAAGCTAGTGTCAAAAAAAGGCCGGAATTTTTTACTATCAGGTATTGCACTGCCAAACAGACCATTTTTTCCTATAAGTTTTTAAATTCTAAACTGAATTCTTTTCCAATGAAAATATTTGTGGTCTTAATTTTATGGTGTTTTATGTCCTGCTCGGTTTTTTAAAATAGGGAGCTGATCTTGTACTTTAATCTCATCCTTATTTATGTTGATAGGAAGCACGAGATCTAAAATCTAAGAAGCAACTTAAATTAGCATTAGAGTTTTTTAAAATGTAATTTGATGTAGACACTATTTTTCCTCTTAAATTACAATGAAAAATTTGAAAGGTACTTAAAAATACCATACCTTCTTTTCGTTTTGGAGCAGGGTCTCTCAGCTTTGGCTCTATTAACATTGAATTAATGGGTAATCCTTTGCTGTGGAGGACTGTCCTGTGCATTGTGGAATGTTTAACAGTATCCCTGGTCTCTACTCATTAGATGCCAGTAGCAAGCCCCTCACCCCACACACAGTTGTGACAACCAAAAATGTCACCAGACATTGTCAAGTGTTCCCTAGATGGCAAAATTACTTCCCTTGCCATTTGAAAACCACTGCCTTGGAGAAAGATACAGTTTGATTCCGTCAAAGTGAAGGTTTTTAGGCAACAGTTTAGAAATAATATCAATTAAAATAATTTTCTCAAAACCAATCATTGTAGAAAGAGAATACGGTTATGATAATAATAGTATTAGAAAGTGGGTATTCTGACCAACCAGCAGCAAAAGAAAGTGGATCTCCTCCTTTTCAGTAGGTGGAGTTGGAAGTTTAAGGAGAGGTGCTTTATGAAAAAGTAGACTCTTTCCTCTTGTCTCAACTCCATTTCTGTAATTTAGCGACAAAAGTCAACTCTGCATGTTGCATACCCTCAGATAATTTCGCATTGAGTTTCTATAGTTCAGTAAGAGTTAAAACCGCCATTGAGGCATTTAGAAATAAAGTTAATATTTTTTTTAACATTTTATTTATTTATTTGAGAGAAGAGAGAGACAGTGAGAGAGAGCATGAGTGAGGAGAAGGTCAGAGGGAGAAGCAGACTCCCCGTGGAGCTGGGAGCCTGATGCGGGACTCGATCCCGGGACTCCAGGATCATGACCTGAGCTGAAGGCAGTCGCTTAACCAACTGAGCCACCCAGGTGCCCCTAAAGTTAATATTTTAATATAAATATATATTATATTTAATATAATACATATAATTAAAAGTAATTGGTCAGGTGGTTTTTCAAAATACTTTCTTTTTTGTAGTACTTAACTAGATAAATGAAGTTTCAGAACGGTATGACAAGCAGTTTCACTAATATACTAGAAAGCCCAATTTGGACAGCTAGAAACTTTATGAAGAGAATATAGCTGAAAACATGCCCCCCTTTTCCCTTGCTATCCTCTCACTACTCCTTGATACCTAAGAAGCCCATGTTCTTCTGGTGGTTTCTAATCTCAGGAGTGAAGCAATTAAATATTTCTGAAATCTCTTCCTGTATAATATCTTGTTAGTCACAATTTCATATAATCTAAATATAATGTCCTAGTAGAACTGCTGACTGGGGAAGTAAAATAAGATGTCTATGCCATGTGTGCTGTTTGAAATGGAATCAAATCAGAAAAGTTTTTGTTTGCCTTCTCATACCTTTTTAAAGATAGTTTATTATACTAAAGCCACTAAAATGTTGATACTAGGATGTAGAAGTAATTGCTTACTGTTAAATTTACCTTGGAATTCCAAATGTAAAGATTCTAAATATTTTCCCATTTATATTATTCTATGGAGTATTTCTGTAGGAGCTGAATATAATATTGAATATAACCATACTGGTAGTTAACACAGGCTGCTTACTACAGCTGGCGCTGTTCTTAGCACTTCACGTATATTAACATTTTCAATCTTCACACCAATACTATGAAATATGTAGTAGTATTACCCTGTTTACGGGTAAGGAAACTACAGCACAAAGAAGTTAACTTGGTCAAGGTCAAAGCTACTGATAAACAGCCATTCCAAAGACCATTTTTTCAACCACTAGGAAAGGCAGAACACTATTACAGGGTTGCTTGGGTGGCTCAGTGGAGTTGCGCATCTGGCTCTCTGCTCAGCAGAGGGCCTGCTTTTCCCCTCTCCCTCTGCCTGCCTCTCTCCCTACTTGTGATCTCTCTCTCTCTCTCTCTCTCTCTGTCAAATAAATAAATAAAATCTTTTTAAAAACCCACACTATTACAATGACTATACGTTGATTTAAGCCACGAAGTTCAACATGAAAATCTCATTTAACATCAGTGGTATATTATCTGATAGTTTACTCAGGTGTTGTTTTTTAGGTTTTTATCACAAGCAAGCTGTAAATAAGTTTTGTCTGGAAAAATCATACTTTATTATAAAATTTTCAAGATAGAAGACATCTAGCTCATTTAGTGAGTAACAGAAAGCTGTCAGAAACCATATTGATTGTTATTTTTTTATTTCCTACTGCCCATATTTTGTATGACATGTAAGTGATAAGAAATGATTAATGAGTCATCTAGAAATGAAGGGCCTTTGTAACAAAAGTGAATGTTTAAAAATGCTGGAGACAAAAGTCATCTTAAGGCCACTGTTTTGGCATATGGGATGAATACACTTGGGCCCATAGCTCCTGTTTGTATTATAGCAGTAGGCACCTGCCGTTAAAACTTGTCTGCAATACCACTATTTCATTTTTTTTTATGCCATCTTGGTATGATTCTTTTTCTTAACCTTCAGGCATTCAAATCCTGTATCCTTTCCTTCCTCTCAAATATTATCTTCTCCTGGCTTCCTCTCTGGCCATCCTTTCATAAACAAGGCAAGGAGCGAGCAAGAACAAACAGGTGTATGCCATAAGGAGACTTAGAATTTCAGTATGGAAGAGGCCATCATACAAACAAATGTAAAACTGCTACTGTGACAATGCTTCAAAGAACCTTCCAGGGAAGATTATCACTGAACAAGTGTTATTTCAATTCAAGGGAGAGTGAAAATTAATCTAACATAGGGGAGGAAGGGCCCTCCAAACATAGGAGACAGTGTGTGAAGAGGTGGTGTGTCTGGAGAGAGAATGGATGAGTGTGAGGGATTGACAGAACGAAAGGAAGCTACTAGAGTGGACTAATTAAGGGGAACTTGGTGCAAGGAGGCCAGAGAGGCAGAGTGACCTGACCACAAATGACTTCTTATGCCATGGTTAGGAGTTTTGTCTTCATCCTAAGTGAAAAGCCACGGGGAAGTTTGTTTTCTGGCATGTTTAACCTTACTTCAGATGGTGTTTAAAGTGGTGTCTTTTACCACAATCATCATTTTCTGGCATTATAGAATACCCTGCATATTTCTAACTGTAAAATAACACAACACTTTGTGAGCAAAAAATGATAGCGCCACATTATAAAGAATCGTTACTAGTTGAGTAACACTGAAGTGCTCCTAACTGGGAGTGTGATATTTTTGGGAATCCTGAGGTAAAGTTGACTTTCTTAGTTCCTGAATGACATGAGCAGTGCCTTTTCATCTCTCTCTCTCTCTCTCTCTTTTTAACTTACGATTGAGAAACTATATTGGGTTCTGTTGAATTTAGAGATACTAAAATTAGTGGGTTATCTGTTATAATACAGACAAATTGGGCAATAAATATGTTTTCAGAGTTTCTGATTTTTTCATATACCATGTAAACGATTAAGGTGTAACTCAGATACATTGAAGTTCACAAGTCTTAAATGTGTAGCCCAGTGAATCTGTGCATATGTAACCACTGCCTAGATGAAAATGTAGAACATTTCTAGCACCTAGGACCCTGGTGCCTTTTCCTAGGTTATAACCCATCCCTCAGTGGTAACCAGTTTTCTGATTTCTAATACCATAAAGGAGTTTTGCCTGTTTTTGAACTGCATAAAAATGCAATTATACAGTATGTACTCATTTGATCTGGCTTCTCTGGCACAGTACTGTCTGTGAGATTCATCTGCATTGTTGCTTGCAACCTCAGCTGCTGCTGCAGTGCAATAGAGTAATCTGGTATGTAAGTCACCACAGTTCTTTTTTTTCTGCTGTTGGTGTTCTATCATTTGAGTTTTAAGTGATGAAGAAGTACTTGATAAAATTAAAGTGTTAATTTTGTCCAGGGACTATACTGTTTTGTTTTGCCTTTTCTTCTGTTTGTAATCAAGCAACCTATGGTCTTGTTACATAGAATTAGGCCAGGCTCTCA